AAGTAACTGTGGCCATAATTTTTTTTTCCTTAAGACATTAATACTGTTAATTATCTTTAATATATAAAGACAGCAAAATATTATCCTAGATGGAACTGTGGCCAGAGACTTTGCATCAGATATAGAGGAAAAGAAATGTGATTCTTGAAATTCTGGACAGCAAAAGGCAAGGACATGAATGAGAATGAGTATGAAATGCTAGAAGTATACAGACCTTTTCATTATGACTTTTAAACACTTGGCAGCACTACATTTGGGTATCGGTTAGTGCCAGCGAAGGAAAAGGCTTCCCCTTTCTGAGCCATTAATATCACCTTTCAGAAAGCATCCCTGAGGTTGCCCTGGGGCTTTCTCATCTTAATAGCACCCCAGCCATCCAGTCTGACCTACCTGAGAAGGTCACAGCTAAGATTTTAAGTATTTTCATGGTGTTTTTTTTTTAATAGAGTGAAATAGCTTGCCAAATAACATTTTTATGACGATAAAGTTCCAGCTTACATGTTGTGTTGATACCTCCACAGGAAGTCATAAGCCAGCCCATCCTCATCCACGACCAGCACTGGCCCTCCCTGCTTCTCCCCAGACAGAGCACTGTTTGGAACACAGAAACCTAAGGCCGAGACTTTTGCCTTCACAAACCCAAGGTCCTACAGCACTGTGTAGGAAACCTCTTTAGGAGAGCTTCAGACATCACTCCTGTAGCAAGATGGATTTACACACTTGAATCAACAGCCTTGTAATAAAGCAGCTAAAGGAAACTTTCTTAGCTAAAAAAGGAAAATCATAAATCTAAATGCGGCAACTGATACTAAACTTCATTACAAACGACTATCTAGATATTCAAGCACAACCTGCTCTAACTCCTGACCTCACTACCTTGGTCACTCAAGCCTGCGCCAAGGATAAGACCAGCTATTCAGAGTGGAAAAAAAAAGGAAAGAAGGCAAAATTGGGCATCAGTTAAGAGGAGGAGGAGAACATTCTTCTCTGGCAGAGTTTTCTTTACCCTTGTGTCACTTTTGCCAGCTGCACCACAAATACTCTTCAAAGCTGACACACATAATCTAGCAAAGCTTGCTTCACACCTTTCCTAACCTGAGATATTTTGGAGGAAGGAAAGTAAGGAAAGGTAAATGGAGGAAATAAGGGAGGGGAAATAAAGGAAAGAGGTGTTCCTTACAGCAGCAAGAAACAATGTCTTTAGACTCTAAATATTCTTCAGGAATGCTGCCTGAAGGAGGATAAATGCCCATTTGAAATATAGTCTACATCAAGTCCATGCAATTTCCTTCACTGATTCTGGAAAGAGATTTTTGAATGCTCAGCTTGGCTAAAATGAGAGTTGGATATACGCAGTCTCTAGCTGAACTCACTAATTTAGTTTCCTAGTGTCACAGGTAATTTTCAGTCATGACTTTTTAATAATTTAACTAAATATGATTTCTAAATTATACTAATTCAACCTACCCCTGAAAAGGTAGCTATTAAAAGTCATAAGATGACTGTTCAGAAGAGGCACAAATCAGTTTTCAAACACTATTATTAAACTGTAAAAAATAAAAAGTAATAAAAATCTCTCGATTCCACTTACATTTTCCTTTCTGAAATTTTTTAGACGAAAGAGTCTACCTAGAGAAACTGGACAGTATGTCTTTAAAGTGTCTTAGTTGTAAACAGAAGTTAATAAACTTCACATTATAATTCAGCACTTCATGTACTTTACCAAAGAGAAAAGCATGCACTACCTTTCCAAAGTCTGGAAGACAGGGCCACAGTTTCAGTTTGCAGAAAATTCCAAGATATATTCACAAGCAAATCTTTAATCTAAAAAAGCATCCTTTTTTTTCCCCCCCTTTGCTGAAGCAAGTTCTTGCTATGGAAAATCATTATTGCTGTTTTGCACATTTGCATTCATCTTCTAAGATAATTAAACCTCTCTCAAAAGGTTAAGGCAATTACTCATTACAAATATTAACATTTGTACATTACAGAGAAATCTAGATTGTTCGGTTCATTTCATGCTTAATAGGATTAATACAGTACCTTCAAGACCTGGTTATCTTTCAGATGATAGCTTTCCTGCTGCTCAGAGGAAGTAAATGCTAGTAAGCACCATACACCGCTGTATTTTTTGATACACAGACTAACTAGTACCTGATTTAAGAGTGCATTTATATATTTAGTTCCATCTGGTGGACTCAACTACAGCTAACAAATGAAGTGGGTAAACACAGAAGCTGATGTCTCAGTGGCAGAAAATACATACTCAGCTGAATTACTGTTATAATCGAAGATCTCATTCCTTTTTCATCTTTTGGTTATTATGTTTATGGAGTTAGATGGAGTCCTGAGTAGTCCCCCTTTAACTTCAGATGGGACTTAAGTTTCTCTTGTCATAGTTTTCTTATGTTTTATTTCCACTGCTACTGCTGGATAAATTATCTTTTGAAATATTCAAACCATAATGAAAAGCAGAAGTCAGTTTACATAATGATACCACTTCTTGAAGAAGGCCACCCTCTTCTGAAGTTTCATTTCCTTCTTTCCCATCTTTTTCCCAAGGGACCAGAATGGATGGATGTTGAGCAAGACTTGCTGGGAGCTGAGCCTCTGAGGTATTGCTTAGTGTTGCATTCTGCTTTGCATACTTACAGGAAGAGTACCCTGCTTGGCAATCGTCTTGAGAAGCAAACTGGGCACTTGATCGTACTGGAGATGGGGACGTTACCCAACCACGAGGGACTTTCATCTTGTCAGTAATAAAGGTTTGGTCACTACTTTCTTCTTCCAGCTTTGAGAGAGATTCTCTATTGCCACTAGAAGAAACTTGCTTCCTTGGTGATGGAGGGAGCTGTTTCCCATGGAGGACACTGTCATCCTGACCGAGATTCCAGTCTGCTTGGTCATTACTGCTGCAGAGCAGGGTGAGGTTGCTCTCACTAGGTGCATTAGACTTGTTCTGAAACAAAAACCATGCGTACACAATTTATGTCACAGTAAGCATCTCCGCACTGGCATTTTTTAAGCAAATATTTTAACAGACCTTTCGTTCAAAAATCATGGATCCCTTTTAGGGTTCACTGCTACAAAACAGCAACCTGAGGAACAACATAAGAACAAGCTCTTTGATACTTCTTTTCTACCTCTTTTGGACAAATAAAGCAGCTCTTTCTCAACTGTCCATTCTGTCTGTGGCTAAGCAGCTTTCAGAGTGAACAAAGACGGTCTGGGGGTTTGTACCATAATGGAAGAAGGAACTTAACTAACAGTAAAACCAGATGGTATTTCATTTTTGATTTAGTACCTATGCCAACTTTTAACATTAATAGAATGCCCATTTTTGTCTGATCTAATCTTAATTTTTAAGATTGAATGTAACCCCTATGTCGCATAAAAATTTTAAGTATTTTAAACATTACCATGAGAATTTGCTGTTCTAGTGACATCCTTTCTTCTACAGAAAAGCAACAAAAGCACCTACCCCTTCAACATTGAACAGCTGACTTGAACTAGACCTCAGAAATGCTAATATTTTTCTGGCTAAAACTGCCCCAATAGTTTGGTGGGAGTTTTAAAACTGCAGTCAAGAGCTCTGGCCAACAAAGTAATCTCCTTATATTATGGGTTCTGTGCAATGCTACCTAAGGAAGGTTCAAGGAGCTATCTTAAGCAAAGTCACTTGCAGAGTAGCTTTGGAATATTATTCCAACAGTCTTTCAATTGCAATTATAGATTCCATAGGCTCCATAGCTTAGTGACTTTAGAAACATCACCTTATTAGTATGCCTAGTTTAACAATGGGAGTTGAAAAGGCAAACAAAGAGTTTCTGAAGTGCATAAGACTAAAATCTTAAATTATTAAATCACAGCTCTAAACTGGGATGACTTATAAAGGAAAAAACATTCCAAGATGACTTGGTCAGTTGGAAAAAAGGCATAAACAATCTCTTGGCTGCTGAAAATCCATCAAGCAGCTGTTGGCACGAGTGTTTTGCAGCAGAAAGAAGGTATGCTCACAATTCTACAGAACATTCTGCAGTACTTAGGCCGCATGTTCAGATCATATAAGTAGAAGATTCCACTATAAATAGACTGGGGTTTTTTATCAAATAAAAGCAGAAGACTAACCGTGGTCTTGTAATCAATATCATCCATTGATCTAAAAAAATCCAGGCTCTTTGCTCCTGAGAGCTTTCCTTGATCTGAACTGTGTGTGCTCAGTGTGTCCAAAATCTCCCCGAGCAAGTCCATTTCTCCTTGGTTCTGGGGAGGCATTCCAGTTTCACCAGAATCATCGCTGTCATAAAAGTAAGCAGAAGCTTCCTCACTGTCTTCTGATGATAACCTGAAGACAGAAACTTCTCCATTAGATAAGAACAGAAGAACATTTTATTACAGCTACTTCTGAAATTGAATAGAAGAATTCACTCTAAAGACTTGAAAACAAACCCAAGTTAACCCAACTTTTCCTTTTGCTCAGCAATTTCACCTAAAAGTAGATGTATGATACCTAGGTAAATGTAGACTAGGTACCATTAGTTGATTTTCATGTCCTCTGTCTCTCCCCTAACCATAATAACTGTTATTTTGAGTCACTCTTAATAGGATTTTCCAGATCTTCCCACCAGAATGTCCTCTTATCTACTCGCCATATATTTTATTCTATTTGATCTGATTTACCCCAGCAATTCGTATCTGCAAGGAGAATTAGCGTTTCTGCTTCTTGCCATTTTGTGTTTCATTCATTGCACTACCCTTATCTCTGACCCCCACTACTGCAGTCCTTCCCTACTTAAGCCTGTTTAGAAAACTACTATAAATATTGTTTCTACAACTCACTGTTTTGATATCTCCCTTTTCTCTTTGAATTCTTCACTAATTCCATTTTCTCTACCGCATCGTTCTTATGCAACTTGTCTTGGCTTTCAAGGTCCTTCACTGCTTATAGCCATTTACTCATCAAATATTAAGTCCTGTCTTCAGTCAGGGCATACTGGCAGCCTCAACCTTTCAAGAGTTTCCTTTAATTTGCACAGAGAAAGATTTGGAGTTTTTTTTTTAAAGAACTCAAAAGGCCACTGTTCTCTTCCGAACCCATTGCCATAACCATCACAGAAGACTTGAAGAATGGATGTGAAGTGACCGCCCACACTATTGATTACCTCTCTCTCAAACATACACATACATATATGTAAGAAAGAGATTTCTTACTTGCTTGTTCTGTCCATTCCATCATCATCTTCATCCAATGCAAAGTCATGGTTACTGAGATGCTGGTTAAAACGAGTCTGTGGGATAGAAAACTAGCATTGCAATTTTTGTTTATTTTTACTATTTCATTGTTATTTATGAATATTTGACCCTTTATTCACTTAAAATTTCTGAGCATTTGATGAGGACTACTATACAGCGATCGAGTCTTTTAAAGAATTTTATAGGGTGACCTAAAGTCCTCACGCACCTGCAGTGAAAGAGCAAAACTGTATTTTAACTGCCTTATTATTTATGCAAAGCCTCTATTAGCACCAACAAAAATGTGGCCATTGGAGGTACAGTATCCATCTACCAGCTACTCTCCCTTGCAAGTACACTAGCACAAAGCACTGTGGTCTACTATATTCTGAAATATTTTCCAAGTTCCGAAGTCAATGTGATCTACTCGGAATAAAGAAAAGGGGATTTTTGGAAAAGCAAATAACAAAACAAATCAGGAACCACTTTACATAGCTATATTGACACGGAGGTGTTAAACAGAAGTGCAGAGCAGGATCCCTTACTGTAAATCTGCAGGTACCTCCCAGCTTGTGCACACTCACGGCATCCCACGGGAAGCTAGCAGAGTAGTGGGTGTGCTGTAGATTCATACACTACCATACTGAGCAGTCACTAGCCTGCTTTAATCATGCTCTTATTCAGCACTCAGAAGCAGTCTGTCCATGAAAAAAGGTCTCTATTTCAAACAATGTTCAAGTCAGACATTTTAGCTACTTCCACTTCACAAGACTAGCTTAGGTTTCGTGCATTTCTAATCCCTGCTGTGTATGTAAACACAAACACTAACTACACGGGCAATCAATCTGTACAAGAGATTTTGAACCTTGGAGAACTGGCCATAATTTAAAGACATATGGATGAAATTTGTGCAAAGAAAAGACGGTGTTAGTTAACTTTAAAGAAAATCATACGCTAGTAAAAAGAAGTCCTACTGCCCATATCTCACTATGTAGCTCACCAATGCCTAAGCCTACAACAAAGCCCTGATGGTGAGGAAATATGGCCTTAATTTCAGACTACAGGGAGCTTGGAAATCTTGTATTGTGAGGATTTCAACATGTCACCTATTACAGATGTTATCAGTGTTCTACATGCACTCGGACACTATCTGCTCTTTTTTTTATTATTTTTTTTTATTTTTTTATTAATCTCCATTACTGTCAGGACCTTCTCATGTCTTTATAGACTGACATATTTTCTCTTGTTCAGCAAGAGAGATTTTAATTAACATAGCAAGTTTTGATAATACTTTTTCTATCATTCTTTGTGCATTGCTTTATCACCAAGTGAAAACACGTGGCTCTCAACGTCTAAAAGCAAGTAACACCTGATAGAAACAAGAGAATTAGTATAGCATTAAAAACTAGGAGAGAAGCTAGACTAAGCTTCATGCTGAAACAAAGGAAAAAGGATGAAATACAAAACACAGAGAATCAAAGGCAAATGGAATGCTGATATTTATAATGTATTTTAGAGATAAACACATTTTAGAACATACTCTCCATTGACTTTTCCTTAGCTCAGCAAAACTGCAAAAACAGAATTCAGATGTAGTGTCATGGAAATAAGGCCAATTAAAAAAGTGCTGTGCAGTTAACATAAAAATGGGGATATTCTGAATAAATCAAGTAAAACTATTTGAAATAAGTCATTATAATATATGACTTAGGTGACTGTTATCTCTCATACCAAAGTAATCATCTGATTCTCAGTCCACACCATGTTAAATAGAAGCTTTTTAGCTATTCCTTTCATTGTTTTCTGTTAAATTTGTTCTGTAAATTCAGATTTTTTTTCAGTTTTGTGAGCTCTTTGCATCACTACTACAGGAATCAATCACATCATGACAGGCAACTAAAAAGAAGGCAAACCACTCTGATTTAATGGATATTGTTACTTATCTTAATTACCGATTACTGCCACAGTGACAGTCACTGTTTTCAGTTTAAAAGTTGCTTTTTAAGTATTTATCTTCACTGGGGCAATTAAAATATTTTATTTCCAAAACACTGAGAACTCATTGCCTCCTCGAGGAAATGCTGAGTGACACATGACACACATGGCATTCATTTAAATTAAAGCCCTAATCCTGCAACTGACTCTTAGATAGCAAAATGCTGGACCTCTGCCTCATTTGCTTAGAGCTGGCACCAGGCATAGGTGTTGCCACCACAAATACTCCTATGGATAGAAACACAAGGTTTTGAGGGAGGGAAGGTTATTTAAAATCAAAACTACAGACATTTGTTTATCTGCAGATGGATTAATTCCGTCAGCAGAGTAAAATCCCACAAGGTAACACTCACTGGTTTGACAAAAGCTCAAATAAGGTTTCAAAGAGTATAGTTGTCAAGTTAAAAAAAAAAAAAGTTGCATCTTTGAGGATTAGAAACTGAGTAAAACTGATGAGAATTGGCAAACACCACAGGCATAACAGTTACCCGTATCTTTGCTCCTTTGAGCATTTACTGACAGCCTTATGTAAAAGAGCATTAGTGAAAGCAGGAAAAACATCATATGAAGGAATGTAACAAAACATGCCTGTAAGCATCAAAATATCATATCTTCTAGTCCCTGATGGGTCAGATTCTCTCTTTGACAAAGTAACTTTTGTTACTGATTTAAATGTTTAGGGGTATAAAATCATAAAGGGAGATTTTCAAGAGCTAAACTAAATGAAATAGGATTTACATATGAAGAAAGAAAGGGAAAGGGGAAGGAAAGGAAAATATCTGGCTGTAAATAACGACGTTCTCTAGAGTTTACAGCTCTGTGAGCTAGCCACTGAGACAACAAGCAACACATGTTTTTGAATAGATGACTTTCCTCTAGGAGCTGTAATAAAAGTAACTGCAAGGGAGAGCTATGTCCAGACTGCTTTGCAAAAAAAAAATAAGAAGAAAAAAAAAAAGAACGAAACTCTTAATAAATTCCAAAAGGAGAACCATAAATCTTTTTCAGTGCTCCACTAGGCGAAGTGACATAGTATGTGCACCTGCAAATGCTGTCAAAGTCATTTAAGAAGCCCTTCCATTACTTATGTACCCTGCTGTTTGCAGTTATTTAAGCTTTTAATTTCTGTCTTTTCTGCATTTTGAAGTGTGTAACCTTTTTTATACCATTTTATGAAAAAAGGAGAGGACAGACTTCTGTTTCCTTCCTGATCAGCATTCTAATAACAACCAGACCGTTTCAATTTATTACCACAAGAAGTGATATCGTAACACTCCTTTCTTGCTGCACCAGAACTTTACAAAGTCTTAACAGACTGCTGTCATGCCTGTTTCTAAAAAACAGAGCAACAAGCTTCTTAAAACTACATAATTTTTCTCTTCTTCCATCCATTTTTGCTTACATAACAAAAATCTAGTATTTTGCATGCCTTCCTTACCTAAACATAATGCCTATGCAACTGCAGTTAACATTGTTCACAACGAAGCCAGCGAAAGCAGAGAACAACAGTAGAGATAGGGTAAAACCAATGAAATGAGAATAGTTAACAGCTCTCTTCTGCCTGTTAGTAGCCTAGTAAATGTACTTCTCTGGCATAAAGATCTTAAAAATGTAGACTAAACTACAGAAACAATGATAAAGGATCTAAGTATAAGATAGTTCTCTTCCTGACTGGGCATGAAAGTCAGTCTTGGAAATGTCAACTTTTTATTTAAAACTAGACCTTTGAGAAGCCTAACTTTCTGGAATGAGTGCTCACTGATCAGTACCAAAGCAGGAAGTTTAATAAGGCTGCTGTCATTAATTGTCCTTGAAGTGAGAAACAAATAATCTTTTGATAAATGGCAGCATATATATAATTTCAGATTTACCAAGTACTCAATACATCAACACATATAGAGTTTTAATAAAGGAAAAATACCTAGTATGGTTTAAATCTATGACGTACTGTTTCCTTTTTCTTAGTGTTTCAAGATTATTCATTCACTAAGAGAAAGCAAAAGAAAAGCCCATGGTTATTTATGCTCCAATCTTTTATTTTACCTATCCTCCGCCAAAAATAGCAGCCACAGACATAATTATGGCTTCACCTCCAGCCAGGAGGCAAAAGATCTCTCAAAGTTACTAGTTAAACACAACCCATTGCTTCCTTTTCAGTTAGAGGCTGTGAACTCAAGTAATGGGTAACGAGATCACAGGAAAAGAACTTCCCATTACTCTCCACGAGACGCAAGACTGATGCGGGAAGAGAGGAAGGAGAAAAAAGGGCATCACAGTTAATAAACTTTCTCCTCTTCAGGGCTTTTCTGGAATGTCATACAAAGAGCCACCCGCTTGATTGGAAGTGCTGCTTGGCCTAGCAATGAGCTAGAGGGACACCAAACAAGGACTGGTGCAAGAGTAATTCTGGGAGAGTTTCTAGAGAAAGTGGACTCTTCAAAAGCTTAATTGGGGCCTTTGCACCCAATAGTGTTTTAATAACGGAAAAGCTGCCCTGGATACAAATTAAGCTACCATCTAAGGTGTAATAATGCTGTAAGTTTGTTTTTATAACATGGGACTCATGGATAACTTCAAAACTATTAATATATGTTAAAAAAATCTTTCTAGGACAGATAACCAATTCAGATGTATAGCTGCTGAATTTTTTTTAAAAAAGAAAGAAACAGAAAGCTGCTGGAAACCCTTACGACTTTATGCCATGACTTGTGATCCTGTTAATTAAAACAAAAGGGAAACAGATGCACACAGAAAGCAGAATCCCAATGGCAGAAAGTTGTCCTTTCCTGTGGCCCTGAAGAGCCTGCAAGGACAGAAAATGCTCCCAAGTCAGTTCCATGCCACAGTCACTTAGAAACCGGTAGAGAGAGCAGAGGGCCAGTTCTGAAACGGCAAGGAACCTGCAATGCAATAGACATCCTCACTGTTCAACTTCTGTAAAGTCAATGGAAACACGTTAGTTTCAGTGTTGAGGTAAGATTTATTGCATTAATGATGATAGATCTGTTAGAGGCTCAGGCATGGAGAGCACATTATAATTATTTATGTTCAGAAGTATTTT